CAAAAACACATGCGAGCATTAAGCCGAAAAGAAACAACAACAAAGTCTGTTGCAATTCGACACCTTGTGGGCTTTTAGTGTTTCCTCTGCCCACACATGTGTGGCAACAAGCAACACCAAAACTGAACACACCAAACGAATAAACAAACAAACAAATAACAAAAACCATATACGAACATAGGCGAAACGAACCGGGCTGGCAGGAGGATGAAGATGGAGCGCGAATGTATGAGCACGGCTGAATGGGTCGTCAAGTACACGGCGAAGAGTTGGCTACGTGCGGCACTGAAAGTCGGGTGTAGAGACACACAGCTGAAAGGCACATGTGTATTGGCAGCCATCAGATGACAAACGTGCCGCAAAAGGCAGCGACTCTCTCGCAGACAGGTAGGCCGACCGCTCGAGACATGTCAACTTGGAGCTCGGCAGCCTCTTGAACCCCTCTACCAAAGCGACAGCTATCTGATTTGAGTACGATGGCTGGGTAACTGACTGACTTTGTGCCAAAAATGGCGTAAAACGTTTAACAACTCCAGCCATATATGCACAAAAACAAATAATATGGCACCCAATGTAAGCGCGAATCGAGAAACCATTATGATATACTCGTAAATGGAAAATGAGACTTCAAAAATTGGCAACAAGGAAGCACTAATTAAACAAATGAATTGTTCCCTATAGTCTAGTCGAGGCATGAAGCACAGACTCATTAATCAATGTACATACATATATATTTTTGTATAAGACACTAAACCAACCACCAATGCTTCCGATTGATAGCGAGCGTGCCAAAGTCGCCGAATTTCCGCTGCAATCAACCCAAGAGATCGCAACCTCAAGTCCGCAAGTGGCATTTGTCCCTAGTGTTCAACGCTGAAACAGTTGGATCAGCCGTCTCAGGTCTGGCATAGGTGAAAAGCGAACAACTCTTAATGATGACGCGTGCTTCACGCCTTAGCACAAGTTGAGTACGACTATAATAGACCCACAACGACGGCAACGGCGACGATGACTGCCGTGTTTGAACAGTTGCATCAGTAGCGTTGTTTGCGAAATTTTAATTGCAATGCACAAAAAGACAATGAAATATTGGAAATCGCGTAATGATGTGAGCGTCAAATACTGTATGTGGCATTGTTGTTACCGCCGCACATATTCAAAATCAGTTAAGCACATTTTAACACCTCCTCAATTGCAATTGCCGCCTGTCGGACGACCACCGACGATTGTTGAATGGCGGCTGCTTGTCGCTGTCTAAACATCCGTCCGGTCGATCGGACAGTTAAGTAGTTATGTGTATGCATACATCTACCTCTCGTAAGTTTGTATATACGTATCAATATTGGTTTGTTGCCTATCTGTCTGCCCTTCCGGCGCAATGTGTTTGGGTGTCAATCTGTCTGTCTGCACGACCACTCAAAAGCACGTCTGCATGAATGAATGCTCGTACACACGTTCGCACACATGTACGGCATGTCTGTATGTAGGTCTGTATTAATGAGCCAAGCGTAGTGCGTGGTAAGATACGGATCGCACCGCCAAATAACAAATCAAAGTCGCAATAATAACACATCTACTAAAAGTCCAAAATCAATTCATTAATTTAACACTAACAGCCGAAAGCTAAAGCGATAACAACAACAAGTTAACAAATGTTCAAAACGTGGAGCAAATACGGGCAAAGTATTGAACGAAATTGAAAAAGTGCGTAGCCGTAGCTTGGCACTTTAATGGTTGATATATGTATTATTACGGTTTTATACCATACATACATACATAGATATATGTTTTTCGTTTTATTGTCAATATCATTTCATTCATTAAATCTGGTTTGTCCAAACTAAAGCGAACGCATAGTGGGACGAGCAGTTAGTCGTTCGAGCGGTTTACACACACACCCATGTATAATACTTGTATAATACCTGTGTGTATTGCTGGGCGAGCTATTTCATTGATTGATCCATTCACTCATATTTATGTATCTTAACGAAATTTTGAATTAGTCCACAAGCGAAGTTAACGCGTGAAGAGATCACTTTGCATTTGTGGAACCTGTTCGCCTACAGACGAAAACATGAAATATTCTTCTCATGTCGAATTTATCCAGCACTAGGATAGGAGAGCGTACAACAATAGTGGTTCCATCAGCAGCGAAAACAGACGAGAAGATTACACACGAATTTTAACTTGGATACGTTTATTTTTTTTCCTCTACTCGATCTTTTTTAACGATGGTAGTGGTATTTATTGTTAAACAACGGATACTGTTCATTTGATTCACTGTAATCATAGAAGTCGTGTTTGTGACGCCATACAATGACGCATTTCAAGTGTGCAGCCTCATTCGGAAATCATCGCTGCGAAATGAATTTATAATTGAAATGCGAGCAGATTACAAATTTCCATTTAACACCAATTTTTCCGCCAATGGCAATGCGAATCATCGCGGCGGGTGGGTGGTCAGGGTATATCAACAATAAGGTGCGCACTTCAATGACTTCCCCGAACATCTGTAGCATTAGCCGAATGAGAACAAAATATTAAATGGCAGCTGTTCTAATTGCGCAGAACATCGCTTATAGATATGTATAGTTGTATATATGTATAGGTTTACACTTAATTTGTGAGCCTGAACTGCAACGCCCTAGTTCTGCTCTTAGGGTGCCTGCACAGTGGACGCTCAAAGCTGAGCCGAGCGTAAAGCTGACGAATGTGATAAATCAGCTTAAAAAATGGCCGCGTACAATTTCATATGAAATCGCACAGGCACCGCAGAGTGGAATCCGAGCGTACAACTGATCAATGCGAGAAAACGAGTTTGAAGCATTTTTCGGCTCACGTGCTACATAGATAATTTGTATGGCGGTCTAATATTTTGCTTACGAGGAATAACCATGAATGTGGTAGAACAATATTCAAAATACCCGCTATTAATAATTTCAAGACCAATTTATGACGAGAATTTCCTAATCTTTCGGGAAGTATTTAATTCCCATATATTTTCGGTCTATTTTTTTTCTTACAAAACATTCATTATTTAACTATTTTTCTTGTTTTAAATAAAATGATATTCGAACTAAATCCTTTGCAGTTAAAAGAAACTGTTACGAACAAGAAAAATAACAGAACAGAACAATATAATAACAATATACGAGCGGAATTCGGCGCTGAATCTCCCATATACTCTGCGGTACCTAAAACCGATCAGCACTGATCGAAATCAGCTATGCTCGGCTTTGAGCGTCCACTCTGCAGGCACCCTTTAGGCACAACTCACCGCTCATGTGAGTGTGTGGCTGAATAAAGACGAAAAACTACGTGAACGCAATCTAATGATCTCAAACGCTATTTGGAACATGGATTTTCATAGGAAGCGTAGATTTTTGGAAGATAGACGAGCGTTCTTACACACACACAACCGACCTCATGGTCACATAAACAAATGTCAGTATGTCCGAAAAGCCTCCTACGCTCAGAGCTAATCTTCAGTTTATAAATATTTACTAGTACACAAACGGTTACATGCTGGTAAATCAGAAGGTGGAAACAAAAAAATTCTTGTGTTGGAAAAAAACGCGCGAGAAAAACAAATGGTGAGGAGAAGAAAAACCTGTGAAAAACTGTCTGTAAGGAAGTCAGACAAGAGCTGCAAATAGATAATATTGTGCTTACTTTTGTTTCCGCTTTAGGAAGGCGGAACCCCACACACGTTTAACCGTTGCCAATACGAACTCCGATATAATCAGGCACAAAATAAAGGTTTTCCAAAACGCCCGCGCAGACACCACACACAATGCAAAAGATGCATTGGCGTAGGAACATAAAAATATGGTAAGACGCCACAATCGCACGTCTCGCACCGTCGTCATAAGAAGCACGCACTTAAAGCCACGTTTAATCGCCCATTCGATGATTCCTATCCACGTGTGTACAAGTGTTGGTCAAGCCAGTGCAGTTGGAACTTTGGAGACAGCGTGGCCACACTACGGAAATGAAATTAATAAGTAATTTAATAAACGTGCGCCATCGCCGTGGAACTGTGCGCAGTCGTTGCATCGAAAGCGGGAACAATAACAATAACAAAAAGCAATCAACGCTCTTGGTGAGCATTAGAAAACCTGTAATGCCGACGACTAACTGTCTGTCAAACCCGACAACAGCAAACAAATGCGTGTGTGCTAGCACATGTGTAGGTATGGGTGTCTGTATGGCTGTGTAAGCAGACCCGTAGGAGCGACTACGGTAAGCGACAATGTATTGTTAGTACGACTTCCCGCTGCGTATGCACAATCATTAGGGAATTCCCAAATATCCGCATGGTGAGCGCTCTTATGATCCAGCAGTGGCACAGGTCAACTCTGCGACCGTTTTTCATTGAAACTATCTATTCCCCAAATTCAGGACTTCCCGTCTCCGTTGTGTGTTTGTTTGTGTATATGCGCATATGTCCGGGCGTGACAGTGTGTTGTGCGCAGGTATTTAGCTCGAAATATGTGCAATCAATTGTTGCGCTAACATCTATGTGGCATCAAATGCGGGAAATACCGCAATTATGCTCAAAGCAACAACAAACTTCATAGAAAAAGGACGATCACGGGAATCCCAGCAACTGTTTGAAGAAAGGTAGTGCCGACCAGGTACACACACCGATGTATGTATGTGTATGTATAAGTTTGTCGTACTAAAGTATGCCTTCTTTTACTTTAAAGGCTCGATTGTTTTGTGGGCGTTTTGACTTAATGACAAAACTTTCCGATTTTTGGCTGTGGGGAAAACCAACTGGATTTTAGTAAAATACAGCACATGGCTTGAATATTGTGTGCGCTTAAGTTATGTTGTGTGATTAGCTGAATTTCTACTAAAAAGTGTGCTACTCCTACGATTGATTATAATAATATATTTTCTCTAAAAAAAATGTTGTTACATATCCTATAATTTTATAAACTTAAGTAGATATAATTATGTACTCGTATATAAATAAACTGGAATGATGCACTTACCAACTGGTCTATTATTTCGACGTGTACCCTCAGATTCTTCCACCAAGAGTGGCGCATGCCGTCGGCCGCTTACCAGCGACGGCGCTGTGCAAATCAAGATGGCAAATATAATGAATTTGTAGAGAAGCTTAAGTGATGTTGTAGAGATCCCTGCTGTTGTTGTTGCAGTTGTTGACGGTGGCGTTGGTCGCGCTAATTTTCCTGTAACGGCTGCTGTTGCTGCCGATATTGCGGATAATGCTGGAGATGATGTTATTGCTGTGTTTCCTGATTTTTGCATATTTGTTGCTTTGACCAAAGTGTTGTAGCTTTTGACACTCGTCGTGGATCGGCATGTACTAGATGTACTTGTGTTACTGATTGCTGTCGTTCGCGATACTTTTGTACTGTTGTTGATGGCCATTTTAACGTGGTTCTCTGAGCTTCTTATACTTTACTTCGATTTTATAGTTTGTTAGTTAGTTCTCCCTATGTTTTGCAGGAGAATTTATTATTTCACACTTAATTTTTAACAGGCGATATTACTTCGCAGCAGTGGAGATTACACTTATTCTTCCTCTTCTAATTTCACTTCCACTTCTCCTCGAAACACTTTAGCACTTCACTAAATTATTTTAACTTTCGATATTTTTTTATTTTTAAATATATTTGCAAGGGTAATGAAATCACATCAAATATTAGAACGATATTTGTAATTGTAAGTTTGCTTGAATTTTGGACGGTTGCACTTGTTTCGATTATTTTAGATTTGATGCGATAATTTACTTCTTCACTATTTTGTCATTGATTATACGCTATTAGATGCACTTAGAATGTGCAAGCCTACACGCTTCTTGCCGTTTGCGTTATAGTTGTGACAAATTAAAGCAACAGACAGAGAAACTAAACCAACTGACTTGTTCTGTTGACAAACAAACGCGCTCGTGTTCTGACACCGACTGACAGACTGACCGACGGCGGCGAGTGAACTGTGAGTAGTGAGTGGCTGGGTGACTCTGTGACTCTGTGATACACTTCGTTGCGTATCGAGCGCGGATAGCAAGCAGGTTGCGATTGTTAGTTGTTGATGTTGTTTGTTGCGCCGTTTGTTAAGTAGGTGGGTAAGTAGTGCGAAGCGGGCAAGCGCTTAGATTAGATAACACCTTTGCCGAATACAAAAATTATTAATTTTCTACGTTATCTTCTTCGCTTTTATTTTATTGTAGTTTTTTTCTTTCTTTTTGTTCTACGCTTTCGACCTTATTCAGATGGTATTCTTCAAGCTGTGCAGTCGGGCGAAGGCTATATCCCTCTTAGATTGGCGCTTCGTCCGTTTATCAATGAATTTCTACAATTTGGATTACCGTGTATTTAGGCGCCTTCGCTCTGTAAGCCTTCTCGTTTATAGACGTACAAACAAATCTGGTGGTCGCCGTGTTCGATGCGGTTGAGTAGTGCAGTTTGCGTGAAAATTCTATTTTTGAATGTTAATATTTTTAATAAAGCGTTTATCTTGCGCGTATTTTGCCGCCTCTATTGTAGCTGGTTCTTGTGATATTTGCCATCTAGCCGTCGCTATTTCGGCAGTTTGTAATGAAAAAAAATTCGTATTTTGCCCCTTCTGTTTGGCTCGCTCGTTTGCTAACACAATTTTTTGATTTACACACTTTATTTTAAAATTTTTACTTTAATTAAACACAATGTAAATATACTTGTATTGTCGTCACTGGTTGAGGTTTTTGTCGATCGGATATATTCACTTCAGCTACAGTAAAACCGAAATAAAATAAATGTTTATTTATGGAAAAGAGTTGGTGTAACACTTTACTCCAAACGCGTTGTCAATGTGCAAAGATAGATATAATAGTTGACTCACTGATGGCACAGCTTTTTGCTGGCAAGCGATTGGTTGTGTAAAATGACGATATTTATTGCTAACACTGTAGTTCCGGCGGCATATGTTTGCGCTCTGGTCTAGCCTAGCTATCCCTGTTTATGACTTTGGTATTTTACCCACAAATTTTCTCCCAAAGCCCACGGAGCTCAGACCCTTTTGGAATCACGCGATTATTACTTAACAACAAACAACTGCTACACGGCGGTGTGATAACAATTTACACTTCACATTTGCTGTTGTGCATGCAAATAATTGGTAAAGCTCGCGATACATTTTTAAAAAAATCTGCTACAAGTCAACTGACTTTCAATTAAATTAATGCAACGCGGAACTTTTCGATTTAATAACGTTTAATATGCGGCCCGTAATCATCGATTCGATTTGTTTCATTTGATACTGAGTCGCGTTATGTTCGTCGTGTGCTCCTTAGCGAACGTTTCGGAAAATAATGTCCACACACGGGATCTGTCGTTGAATAAATAAACCCCTCAGCGAGCGCGCACTAATGGAAAATAAAAACTCTTTTTATTCACTTAGTATTTACAGTTGCTATTGCCGTCGCTGCTGCTTGACTTGCTTGTCTGGCGGCTGGTTGTTTGGTCGCTCAACGCGGTCGATCAGTTGGTGTGTGCCCACTCTGCTCAAAAGCAAGCAAGATATTAAGATACTACGAATTGGTATGGCATACACAAACACAGATACGGTGAGATACACGATGTTGCGCTATTACTGCTCTTTCGCGCCGCTCTGTTCGGCTCTGCTCAGCGCCGTAAACGGCTCACTATTCTACATTTATTTTAAAGCGCTGCGCTGTAGATGTCGGCGTCTTAACCATAACAGTTTTTTTGGCTGTTATTACAGTCGATTCTTGAGTCTGAATACTTCTATATTCATTTTGTTTGTTGGTGTTGTTGTAGTTGCGCCTATAGTGGCCACTACCAAATGCAACCACTTCCTATGCTCGAGAATGGCGTTGACGTCGACTACATACACGTCGTCGTCAGCGACTAACGTCCGTTGCAGCGAGCTTGGTTGTCAACAACAATATGATCGTGTTGCTGAAGCCAACGGCCACGAATAGCGTAGATAACCGAAGTTTTAGCGCTCGTACTGGCTATACTCACGCTCCCATTTACATTCGCATTCGCTTTAGTCATCGCGCAAACCAACAAATCTACAAGCAAATGTGGCGAATGAGAAACCAGAAACGATCCAATAATAAATGCTGATTGTAGTGTTGCCAACGAACGAGTTCAAATTCAACGTTCATTTGTTTATTAGCGAAAGAAGGGCAATGTTTTTGGTTCTTGGTGAGATCCCTGAATGTTAAAATTTCTGGACCTATAGTTTTAATTGCTTTGAATAATAATTTAATATTGAGGTTATGGATGGCGGTTTACACATATATACATTTTTTTTGTTTCCAGATTTAGTTTCGACTTAAAGATAATATATAAAAATTTCTAATTTTTAAGTGTGAAGATGAAATAAAAAATTGCATCAATGTTCAAATGTGTGTGAACTCAAGTGCAAAATACTTTCAATTTAAGTTTACATTACTCTCTATACACTCTCTCTCACACACATTCGATCTCTGTTAACTCATAGACCCACAAAATTTTATAATGGCCAAGAGCGTGTCTGCGCACACGCCGCTGCCGCTGCCGCAGCCAGCTTCGCAGTTCAAACAAACGTTATTGAAATGTTTGTCAACATTCTCAACTAAAGCAACATGTTGCTAATCTGTTCACATCATACACTATGGTTGCGTGCAGCCACGTTTCATTTTTATTTTCGTTTATAATTCTGCCAACTGTTTTAATCAAGTGTTTTGCCATAAAACCCCTTCGGCAACAAGTGCGGACTCAGAAATATAATTCAAATTCAGTAATAAAGCCCTTTTAATAAACAACTAATTGAAATTTTATAAACTCCTACCACTTATTTTTGTCACATTTTTTTGTTATCAAAATGAGGATATTTTTTGGGTGAATTTAGATACAAACAAGCTATAATACCATTCACAAATACAAAGGTTCCTTACAAGAACTTGATTCCGATCTAATTTCGTGAATATACCTCGATAATAAAAAAGTTTTCCATACAAGCAGTTGATTCCGATTGTTCAGTTAGTATGGCAGCTATGTGTTATAGTGGTCCGATATCAGCCGTCTCGACAAATGACCAGCTTCTTAGTGAGGAAAAGACAGGTGCAAAATTTCAGATTGATAGCGTAAAAACTGAGGGACTAGTTTGTATATATACAGACAGACGGACAGACAGCCGGACAATGCTAAACCAACCAAGCTCATCATGCTGATCATTTATGTATATGTATATTTTATAGGGTCCCCGACGTTTTCTTCTGGGTGTTACAAACTTCGTGGCAAACATACCCTGTTCAGGGTATAAAAAACGCTAAAATATATTTAATAACCTTTACCTTTTTAAAACGAATTTTATTTTTAAATTAACTCTTATACGAATATGACTATGAAATTGATGAAATAAATTCAATTTCGTTAAACGAGTACAATACACTAATAAGCGTATTTACATATGTACATATTTTAGTATCAGTACGTTTGTATGGGTACTAAAACACTCATAAAAATCATGCAAACCATGTTTATATTAGACAACATCATTATCGAGTTACGCACTGTAATAGCTAACATCATTATTGCCTCTTTTACAATCATAAATACATGCTCACATGTTAATGAATGTATATGTTTATGTCGGTCCGTACATCAGGATTCAATCTGCTCCGCTGTTTGCCATCAAAATCCAACGACAGCGAAAACCACGACGACAGTTTTTAATTGCACCACCAATTAATTTGCATGTAAACACAAATTGATCACAGCAATAGCAGCTGAAAGAAGTCGGGGAGCAACTGAGAGCAACAGTCGCGACGTACTGGCGAATAGCAACCGCAATAATAATAAGAGCACAGAATAATATGCAAATTACAAAAACAACGTAACTACAGACACACACACCGCGTCACTTACTCACACCCGATGTGTGCGTTAATCGGGTGGCAACAATGCAACACTAGCAACAAATGGACAACAACAGCGTGCACCTCGCCCACTGTTATATTTGTGCATACATACGTATGTATTTACAATTGTTGCTGGTGTTGTAGTTGTTTTTCTTTTTGGCTTATTTGCGGCTTTGCAACACATCGCTTGTTGGTGCATGCATACCCACCAACTGATTGCCGACTATGCGCAAATTGTGGCACGTACCCGACCCGTTGTCACTGTCCAACAAACATGAAGTTAATGCCACTTGCAGTGGCGTAACGCTGTTGCATGTTGTCAATTGACTAATTTGCCGCAAAGGACCGAGTTGCCGGCGCGAATGCTAGAAGATGCGAAAACTAAAGCAAAATGCATGAGACTTTGAAGATTTCCACGATGCTCAAGATGCTGCTGGTGCGACTGGTGCTAGCGCTATTGTACGGAAATGTGCCATACATATGTATGTATGCAGCCGTGAATGCTGTTGCCGATCGTGGCGGTGGTGGCGAAGATGGTGATAGAGGCGATGGATAAGCGGTCGTTCTTGGCAAAGGACACTTTGTTGGCATTTGGCGCACTTCTCATGCCCTCTTTATTTGTGGCAATACTTTTTGCAGCTTTCCCCGTGCCATAATCAGCTTCTTCTTTTTATTTTTAAGACCCTAAGTTTCTGCTATATGAAAAAACAAGTGAACTAATTATTGGAAAATATCAACCACTGAAAGGAGGTTTAAAGAGGTCTCTACTTCATTATATATCGTTTTTCTAAAGTTTTTCACAATTGCCATTCAATTATCTACTCTTAATTTATAATAACATTAAAATTCATTATGAGACAAGACATTTTATCCCGAAAGTTAAGTAATAGTTTTGAAGTGACTGAGTTGAATTTACATATTAAAAAGAAAAATAAGAATTTATATACATATTAAGAAATTGATATATGAATGCTTTGGTAGTTAGTTTTAGGGATAATGTGGTCACAGGGAGCCAGTCCTTACCTAATTATTTTCACGATATTCACTTCCGGTTAAAGGAGTTTGCAATCTGTAACCAACGATCGTCTTAAAGGTAAAACAAATAAAATGTAGTTTAAGAAAGTTTTAAGAAAGTTCATGTACTAAAGTATAAATTTTTAATGCATTACAATCAAAAGAAATCAAACACTAACAAGTAAGTCGTTGAATAAAAATCCTTCAATTAACAATTTTGTTTATAACGAAGCAGCGCCCGTCATCGTAAGATGACATATTTCCTCGATTACGGTATATCCCAAAATAGAAATTTTACGATACCTGCTCCAGTATGCGAGTATCCGCCCGACGAGAACTCGACCATATACGAATAAAATGTCATTTTCAAATCACGACCTATTTGAGAAATCAATTTCTTCCACAACCACACCCTGCGACCACCCCTTAAACAAGAAATGACAGATTATAACAACAAATGTTAGCAAAGCATACAATTAATAAGTTAGCAAATTAAAAATGAACACGATTTCGCGTGATGTGAGAGATTTGTTCGATTTTGCATAGCCATTGATCATGCCAGCTCCACTCGCAGTTAAAAACACGCTCGAATATTGTGTGTACCATATTTGTTATGCATTTCATCACATCTCAAGGCAATTTATTGCGTCTACTTCGACCAAGAACTGTCCATCAAATGGTCGCCCAGCGTGTCCAATGGGTCATTTATGGAGGCGCAAATAATACACGAGGCTATTTGTTGTATGTATTGCTATAAATCATAATTCAGCACTATTTAATAACCTGATTTCATCCTTCAGAGTATAACACAAATAACATGAGATCATAACCAACGGATCATTAGATACTTTTGGAGTAAATACAAGAATGTGAGATGGAAGCAATCAAGTACTTTCTCCTCTACGTACAGCTTTTGCAAGATTGAGGTTGAAACATCTCGATAGCCATACCGGGAATCAGGAGAGATAGCAGGAAACTGAACTCCTCCACAAATTGTGATAGGCTCAAAGAGCTTTGTCGATTTGTGAGGGTCTATATGATGAACATATACTTATGTAGCTTTAGCCATCACTATAGACCGGCGTTCTAAGCTATTCAAATAAAATCCCTTCTGACGTTTGACGCATTACATCTAAAACTGCTTTCTAAGTGGAGCGATGTAATCGTGCATAAGGAATAGTTAAAATCTACTAAATTGTTAATAAAGCCTCGTTTCTAACAGGTTGACAGTTTTAATTGATCACTTCGTTCAAAAATCTGATTGGAATATTGAAAGTGTCGTCAAGCAAAGGTAAGGCGACTCCCCACCAACTGCAGCCCCAGCCATAACCGCTCAATATATCTGTGAATTTTCACGATCAACTTAACGCTTGCTTAAGTGTTTTATTAGGTTTACATAAACTTTGAAAAAAAAAACTAAGTAAAATTGTTATTAGATTTATTTATCGGAAACATTAGTGATTTACAATTTGCATAACATTTGTTTTGCCACAAGTAGGAATGCCTATATATCCACAACTCGTGCCACCTCTGCCAGCTGGCACCCTCTCACCGAGACTCCACCCGCATCAGCACCAGCGGTAAGCGCTTTCCAATCCATCGTCTAACTAGTCGTTTGCATGGCCGGTTGATTAACTGACCGTTACGACTGCTGCAACTGCTGCTGTTTTTGCCATCGGCGCTGGTCACTCGGCCGATGACGCTCTAACTTGAGGAAGTATGAAGTCATTTTTATTTTCAGCACTATTTACGTCGCTACCCCGACATCCATGTGGAATTGGAATCAAATGAAATTTATGCACATATCTTCAGGGCGTACACGAGCTACTCACACACGACTACAAGCATACATACACACATGTAGATATGTATGTACTTTCATGCTTAGGACTGCTCGAGTAGTCACCTATTCGACTACAAAATAAATTTTATATTATATATATAATATGTACACATGCGCATCTATACAAGCATACATATGTATGAATACTTGTTGCTGCTACTGTCTTACAAAGTAAAATTTCTGCTCTCCACTTACAGCAAAATCGAAAGCTGTGACTTGATTATTGCTTTTGTTGTTGTTACATTTTTAATTACTGTTTCTTATTGATATCGAATGATATATGGAGTACAATTGATGAATGAATGTGAATGCAAATACGAGTCTACCAATGAATATGGTATGTGTTAGCAGCGCAAAGCATACATACAAACATAAGTTTATATCTGCCGATATGATCTGGGCGGCACGTTTAGAGATTCTACTCTTTGATTTTTTGTTCGAGTATTCATAGTCTATTCATGGAAAAACACATTGGGGAGCCCACTGGCCGTCAACTTCTAATGACTGTAAAGTCTGAGTATAGTTTTCACTGTAG